CAGAGTAGACAATAAGGACCCTGTCCTCCAAAAATCAGGGTTATGTGTATTGATTACTGATCATGGCTTTTGATCAATAAAGGACCAGTATAGAGGCTGGTAACTGTTTCAACCCTGACAGGTTCAAGTAGCTCTACAGCTGAGATGGGATTTAAAGAAACAGTTTCTTGGGACACCTGGGTGGCTCCGATGGTTAAGCATCTGCCTTCAGCTCAGGTCGTGATCCCAGGGTCCTGGGACTGAGCCCCGCATCGGGCTCCCTGCTCGGCGGGAAGCCTGCTTCTCCCCCTGCCTGCAGCTCTCCCTGCTTATGCACTCTCTCTCGCTTTCTGACAAATAGATAAAATCTTTAAAAATAAAAAATAAAAATTAGATCCATCACGTTTTAAAAATAAATAAATAAAAATAAAGAGATAGTTTCTCTTCAAGGAGCCAGGCGTTTAACGAAATCTTTGTCAGGTCACTGGTGACTGCCAGAAACTTCAGTGACCACACTTGACATGTAACATATTTTTGCAAAAACAGCTCAGAAAGTCACAAATGGATAGATTCAACCCCCAACAAGCAAAACTCCACAATCTCTGACGAGTGAATTAGATTTCCAACATTACCAGAAATACACACAATTCCCAGTACTCAACAAAAACAAGAATTTACTAAACACATAAAGAAACAGGCTACTACAGACCATTTACAGGAAATAAAGAATTTGACAGAAACCATCACTGAGAAAGTTCAGACACTGGAATTGTCAAAGACATTATAGGAACGGTCTTTTTTTAAGATTCATTTATTTTATTTTAGAGAGAGAGAAAGAGTGCACCCACATGTGTGTGCAAGTTGCAGGAGAGGCAGAGGGAGAGAAGGAAGCCTGACACACGGCTTGATCTCATGACCCTGAGATCATGACCTGAGCCGAAACCAAGAGTCAGACACTCAACCGACTGAGCCATCCAGGCGCCCCAGCAATAGTCTTAAATACAGTCAATGAGCTAAAGGAAATCATGAGGGGGGATAAAAGGAAATCAGAAAAACAATGAACAAAATGAGTATGCCAATAAATAGAAATAGAAAGAAACGAAGCAGAAATTCTGGAGTTGAAAAGGACAGTAACTGAAATGAAAAGCTTACTAGAGGGGTTCAACAGCAGATTTCAAGCAAAAGAAAAATTCAGAAAACTTGAAGACAACTGAAACTATTCAGTCTAAGGAGCAGCTAAGAAAACAATAAAGAAAAATGAACACCCTGAGGAACCTGTAAGGAAGCAGAAATGTACCAACATACACATTATAGTACTCTCAGAAGAAGAAGACGACCCTCAACTCTATGGTCAACTAATCTTCAACAAAGCAGGAAAGAACATCCAATGGAAAAAAGACAGTCTCTTCAACAAATGGTGTTGGGAAAATTGGACGGTCATGTGCAGAAGAATGGAACTGGACTACATACACACCTTACACCATACACAAAAACAGACTCAAAATGGATGAAAGACCTAAATGTGAGACAGGAATCCATCAGAATCCTTAAGGAGAACACAGGCAGCAACCTCTTTGACCTTAGCCACAGCAACTTCTTGTCAGACACATCTTCAAAAGCAAGGGCAACAAAGGCAAAAACGAACTACTGGGACTTCATCAAGATAAAAAGCTTTTGCACAGAAAAGGAAACAGTTGACAAAACCAAAAGATGACCAACAAAATGGGAGAAGATATTTGCAAATGACATATCTGATAAAGAGTTAGTATCTAAAATATATAAAGAACTGATAGAACTCAACATCCTAAAAATAAATAATCCAATTAAAAACTGGACAGAAGGGGGCACCTGGGTGGCTCAGTCGTTAAAGCGTCTGCCTTTGGCTCAGGTCATGATCCCAGGGTTCTGGGATCGAGCCCTGCGTCAGGCTCTCTGCTCAGCGGGAAGCCTGCTTCTCCCTCTCCCACTCCCCCTGCTTGTGTTCCCTCTCTCATGATCTCTCTCTCTGTCAAATAAACAAATAAAATCTTTAAAAAAAAAAAACTGGGCAGAAGACATGAACAGACATTTCTCCAAAGAAGACATCAAGATGGCCAACAGACACATGAAAAGATGCTCAATATCATTCACCAGGGAAATACAAATCAAAACCACAATGAGGTATCACCTTACACCTGTCTAGTAGTGAAAATCAAATACACAACAGGGGCACCTGGGTGGCACAGTCAGTTGGGCATCCGAATCGATTTCAGCTCAGGTCATGATTTTCCAGTTATGAGGCTGAGCCCTACATCAGGCTCTGCACTCAGCAGAGAGTCTGCTTGGGATTGTCTCTCCCTTTCCCTCTGCCCCTCCTGCTTGTGCATGTGCGCACGTGCTCTCTCGTTCTCTCTCTCTCTCAAATCTTTAAAAAAATCAAAAACACAACAAGTGTTGGCAAGGATGTGGAGAAAAAAAGAACCCCTGTGCATCACTGGTGGGAAGACAAACTTGTGCAGCCACTGCAGACAGTATGGAGGTTCCTCAAAAAAATTAAAAATAGAACTACCCTATGATCCAATAACCACACTAATGGGTATTTACCCAAAGAATACGAAAACACTAAATCCAAGGGATATATGCAGCCATATGTTTATTACAGCATTATTTACAATAGCCAAGATATGGAAGCAATCCAAGTGTCCATCAAGAGATGAATTGATAAAGAAGATGTGATATATATGTATATACATAAACATATATCACACACATACACACACACACACACACACACACACAATGGAATATTACTCAGCCATAAAAAAGAATAAAATCTTGCCATTTGCAACAATATGGATGGAGCTAAAGTATAATGCTAAGTGAAGTAAGTAAAAGACAAATACCATATGATTTCACTCATATGTGGAGCTTAAGAAACAAAACGAACAAAGAAAAAAGACAAAAACCAGACTCTTAAATATATAGAACTGATGGTTATCAGAGGAAAGGTGAGCAGGGAGATGGGTGAAATAGGTGAAGAGGATTAAGAGTTCACTTACCATGAGAAGCACTGAATAATGTATAGAATTATTAAATCACTATACTGTATACCTGAAACACTGTTGTTAATTTTATTGGAATTTTAAAAAAAGTCATTGAATTACATGCTTACAATGGATGGATTTTATGGTTTGTAAACTATACCTCTTACAAAGCTGTTCCCAAAAATGTCAAGGTCATGGAGGACAAAGAAAAACTGAGAAACTGCTCCAAATTAAAGGAAATTAAGGGGATAAAACAATTACAGACAGTACTTAATCCTGAATTGGATGGGGCATAGGGGAGTAAGGGAATAGCTATAGAGGGCTTTATTTAGGATTGTTTGGTGAAATCTGAGTAAGTACCATAGATAAGAATAATATCGATGTATCAATGTTAAATTTCTTGATTTCTATTATTGTTCTCACTTTATTACAGAATGTCCTTGTTCTTAGGAAACACACAATGAAGGATTTAAGAGCTATAGAAGGAACAGTATCCAATTTATTCTCAAGTGTTTCAGATAAATATAACCTGCAAATATATACATATGGAGAGAAATGATAGAGCAAATGGGCAAAATGTAAAGGACATATGGGAGTTCCCTGTACTATTTTTTGCAATTTTTATATGAAGTTTGAAATTCTATCAAAATAAAGTTACAAAAAAAATTTTTAAATAACAATACAGGCAGAAGGAAGTGGCTGGAGGTGTAGAAATAACAAGCAGCATTAATTTTTTTTTTTTTTTAAGTAGGCTCCAAGCCCAACACAAGGCTTGAACTCACGACCCAGAGATCAAGACCTGAACTGAGATCAAGAGTCGGACACTTAACTGACCAAGCCACCCAAGCACCCCAGTAAATAATTTATTAAAGTCACTAAAGCCTACCTCCTGAAAACAAAATAAAACCCAACTCCTGCAGCCTGTACTCCTAAAGACGGGTTAGAGTAGGAGATATTCTAAAACTCTGACAAGTTCTAAAATGTGGTGATTTACTGACACTTCTCTTAGGGCCATGTTTCCTTTCCTTCATTTCCAGTACAGGCATGACTTCCAGGCTAAGGGCTAAAGGAGACCTTCCAGGCCTAAATCGTCTGACCGCGCCACCCAAAGAGCTAATTCTCCCCAGTAGGTTATTCCTGGAGCTCAAGGTTAAAGATTAAAAAGTAGGTTTAAGATCTACAAAGTGGCTTCTCAATGAACCTAAGTACTCCCACAACTAGCAGAGCACCTTACACAAAATAAATACACATTGTTCTGATGGATCCTAAAGGGCAGTAGACAGGGACAGAAGACTCATAAGCCTGAAGCCCTGGGGATGACAACAACAGCTGGCCTGATTAGAAACAATGTCTGCCTGTTTCTTTCCTGCTTTCTCCCGTTTTTCCTCCCCTCTCTAGAAATGTAGATCTGTCTCTTTTCTCAAGTTTCCATCTGGCAGTATCTCTCTTCCTCACCCCAATCTCCCTAACTTTCTTAGAATATACTTCCTACTTCAAATGACACATTTAATTTATTTTTGTGTTTTTCATTTCTTTCTCTGCAATTTTAGTAAGTAAGCAGAAAGATATCTGAAATGATGTTCATGGAATGTCTCTGAATGGTGGGATTTGGCTAATTTTTCTTCTTTGTACTACAACTTGAACTTCATATAATGACCTTGTGTTTTAACCAAAATAAGCAGCACTGCATTTTTTTTAAATTCCTATTTCTAGCAAATCAGTTCATTTTAACCTTTTATATTCCATGTCCTTTGCTTATGAAAAAAATAATCGGGTGTATTTCCCCTATAAGTGATCTTCAATTTTCCCCTAGGAGTGGCCCTCTGTGAGAAAAAAAAAAACCCTCTCCACGTACTCTTCTTGCTTTTCATCCACCTTCCATGCCTTCCCCAGTGACACAGGAAGAAGCCACAGAACAGACACACAGCAGAGAACAGTAGGGATAGGGAAGCTCTGACCACAACATAGCTTAGAAAACTAAGCCTCGTACTACTTTACTCTCTGTATTCTATTAACAGGTTTCTCACCAGAAAGATGTCTGCATAGCCAGCCAAAGACTCTACTCCCTCTTGGATCCGTGCTCCCCCGGAGTCATTCAGTCCAATCACTGGAGCCCCCACTGTCATGGCCTGGTCCATGATCTGAGACAGCAAAGAAACCTTTTATGAAACAACTGATCCTGTTACCAAAACCAGAATTTATAAAGCACAATGGTGTTTTCTGGGAAAATGTTCTAAGTGCACTTTTCAAAAATAGAAGTCATTTACACCAGCTTCATTCCCCAGGATGACTGGGTACCTTCATGGAAGATAGAGAACCAAAATTTTAAGGGCGGATTAAAGCCCCTCAGGCATCCAAGAGCCAAAGCACTTCCCAGTAGCAGGTGGGAAGACTGCTCATGACAACCATTTCTAGAGCCACAGGCCTAGCTGTAATATTTTTCCAGTAGCCAGTATTGTTCCCAGTTATTTTTTTTTTTTTAAAGTAGGCTCCATGCCCAACATAGGGCTTGAATTCATGACCCTGAGATCAAAAATCACATGCTCTACTGACTAAGCCAGCCAGGCGCCGCCGCCGCAGCCGCCACCACCCCCTCCCCGATCCCATTACTCTTTTGAAAGAACTGACAGTACATAATAGCAAAGTAGTAGTTTTGTGAAAGTACATGTAGATGCATCTGTTAACCAGAGGCCAGGCCCAAGCCTGCTTTTACTTGTAATGACCCATATTTTCCTCCTGGGTCAGTGGCTTGAATGTTACTAATAAGTAACATTCCTAATAGCTCTTGTCAGTTCACAAAGCACTTTCACTTCCCTATTATCCATTTAACCATGATAACAGAGGCAGTAAAAAGAAAAATTAGGAAGGTTTAAAAGTTAAGTGATTGGTCCAAGGTTTCAGAAATACATGACAAGACCATGTCTAGAATACAGGTTTTCCATTTTACAGGGAAGTTCTCCCCAGCTACTAATAGTCAACCCTACCTTTAATTCCAAAGTTCTCCAAATATGATCTATACTTTTATTCATCTCCAGAGCATCTCATCACTAGCAGTGTTTTTAAAATACCATCATGTAATCAATCCTTGCACTGCTCTTTATTGGACTCTTCACCTGGACCATGGGCTCTTTACCTGGAGTCTTCAGAACCCCAAGCAGTCTATAAATAGATTTCATCCATGCCTTGGATGGGAAAAAACTTACATCTTTATCTTTATTAACTTTAGCTGATCTTTAGCCTTTCCTTTAATAATGAACACAGGCAAAAAAACACACACACACACACACTCACACACACACACTAGAAATACCTGTGACTTTGTCATTAATAGAAGCCACGGATATTTTTATATCACATTCAAGTTGTTGCAGATAACTTGAAAGAGCATTTTTACTCGTACCTACTGTGAAATTATAGCAGTTTGGATCCACAACTAAATCTTGTTATTTGATGAATTAGAAAGCACATATATTACAAATGTGTTTTTAAATATTTTTAATTCTTTGTAATCCTACATATTTTATGCATATAAATCATTACCAGCCTGTCAAAGGGATCCATGATACAAAAAAATGTTACAAACTCCTGCCTTAGACTGAAGGGACCTTTGGGTCAGGACCCACCCCACATACAGTCCTGCACCCCAATACTCAACATGTACCATGTGACTGATGAAAATACTGGGTTTCCAATATTAAATACTTACTTTGCAGATCTTTTGGGCATGTGCCCCGGACAGACTACCTCCAAAAACTGTAAAATCCTAAAAAGAAAACGATTAAATCAACAAATACAGTGATTAGTCAGGGACAAAGAGCCAGGAGGAAGAGGAGGAAATGAAAAACTCTTAGCCAAAAGTTTTTGAAGGATTTTTAGAAGTTCAAAAAATTAGGAATAGTCTTCTTTCATTCACTATTCCATGAAATAATTTGTACCTTAAAGAGAATTTATGTATTGTCAAGAGCAAAAGACTTAGTCTTTGCTCTACAAAAATGAGTCATAGTTCTAAGGAAAGGAAAACTTTTCATGCAGACTTAATCCAAAAAATCCGATTCTACAGATATCAAACAGTCAGGCATTTCTATTACTAGAAAGTATCTGTCATTTTGACAAGGGAGGCCAAAAAAGTCAATCAGAGCTCTCACTGCTTCCTCTAGCTTACGGAGTTTCATTACCTTCTGATGTAAAGGGCTTCTTGTAGGAAGGACCTCCTTCCTAAAACCATCTCAAAAAGACAGCGGGGAATTAAAAAGAGATTCAGCCCAAGAGGACAGAAAAGGAAGAGGAAACATTGGCAGAGGAGAGACTGAACAAACTGGAGGGGAAATGAAAGCACAGGAAGAATATCTGACTTAGCGAGAACAAATGGAAGCCTATATACTGCAGGGGGAGTAACCACAAGGAGGGGACAAGCCAGGAACCACGGAAAGTAGGGGGTGAGGAGGGGTGAAAAACAGACTGATACAAAGTCTCTGTTGGGAGCAGCTGGACCCACAGGACCTCTCCTTCACTTTGAGAAGGGGAAAGGTTTATTCTCTAAAACAACTTCATCAGAGGGGCTCTGGATTCAATCACCAGCAGCAAAACAAAGCAAAAGTGAGGCTAAAAACAGACGAGATTAGGAACCTGTACACTAAATAACGAGCCAGCACCGGCCCCTCCTTTCCCCCTACTCCTCTCCCCCAGAACATACCTATGGCCAATTATCAGGCGAGAGACCGAGGATGCTTCTCTGGAAAAGAAGTTCCCCAGAAAAAGCAACTGCAGATATTAACATTTTGGGGATCACTACAAAAAAGCTGGCTCATCACTCCCCACCCTCAGTATCCTTCAGGGCCTATTTGAAATGCCCGATTTTCCCTAAAACATTCCTCAAGCCTGAATGTGATCATCCCTTGTCCTGAGTCCACAGCATTTGGCCAGAACCTCTCTCACCCTATCTGTACTGAAGACACTCCTGTCCTGCCCCATTCTGTCTACAAAATGATTAGCGTCTTTGGGGCAGAAACTCGGGCTCAGTTTTTTCCCTTTCCCTTCCCCTCATCCCTATCCAACCCTACCCCATGGGGATAAAAGATGATAAAAAGTATCAATTCAGTGAATTTCTCTATCTGCTCAGTAGTTAGAGTTGAGCGCAGAAAGCACAGTAACCTTCTTTGTTCTATCTTATTAATGCTTCCTTCAGTACAAGCTTTTGCCTAGCTCTCATAAATTACAAAAAGGAGAGATCATTTCTTCCAGTTAAGCATTTGGTAGACCCACTTATAACACAGTTTTAAAACATTTCAAAGGTAATTCATTAAGTAAATGAGTATTGTTTAAGTACAATACATTTTAAATTAGGCATAGTTATTTTATTATTAGACCCATAATTTTAATACTAAACAAGCTTTATAACTTTAGATCTGTAAAAGGAACTAAACATTTAGAATTATATGCATATTTCCACCTGGCGGGGGGGAATCAAACCCAAAATAGTATAGTGTTAGTTTACTATTAGCTGCTCTAACAATTACCACAAATGCAATTTATTCTCTCACAGTTCTATAATTTAGAAGTTCTACATGGGCCTCACTGAGCTACACTCCAGGTTAGCATTGTTAGGCACCTTTCTGGAGGATCCAAGGGAGAATCTTTTCTCCTGCCTTTTCCAGGTTCTGGAGACCATCTGCATGCCTTCGTTCATGACCTTCCTCCATCTTCTTAGCCAGCAATGGCAGGCCCATCTCACAACACATCGTTCGGAACTCCACTTCTGCCTCTCCTTTTAAGGACCCTTGTGATTATATTGTGCCCACCTGGGTAACCCAGCCTTCTTTATTTTAAGGTTAGCTAATTAAAAACACTAATTCCATCTGCAGCTTAATTCCCCTTTGCCATGTAAGTTAACATATTCATAAATTTCAGGAATTAGGAGTTGGACATTAGGGGGCCATTATTCTGCCTCCTACACTATATTCTCCTATAGTCTCAGTGTGAAGAAACTGTATCTGTCTTTATGCAGCCTAACAAAACTTGTTCTAACACTTTCGTGAAAGCCCAAAACCTATGGTTCCTAGAGTCTAGTCGCTTCCACCCAGGCTGCATTCACAGCACTCTCTCAGTCCGCACATTGCCCAGGACATGGCTGTCCTCCAGGCACACACCCAATCTGCCAAGAAGAATCTCACTCGGAATAAACTCCTGGTTCCTGGGACTTTTAACATGATTACTACCCTGTGATCATCCCTCAAGACTAAGGATTCTTTCTCCCTAAGAAAAAACACATACTATAGTATAAAACTCTGGACATATGCCCCTCCCTCATCTGCCCCCACTACAAACAAGTTTTCATTCCCCAAAACTGCTTTCTTCTCATGTCTTTTGCTCCTGACTCTTCCCTCCAGGAAAGCTCAGCCTATTGGAGTTATTAAATACCTGACTGAAGACATAAACCAATCTTCCATTGATTCGGCCCCGTCCAGTGACCACACTGTCTCCAGGAAACTACCAGAAAAATAGAAAAATAAAAGTTAAAAAACCCAAATACGTCTTTTAACGAATTTGGCAATGAAAGACCAAAAAACCCCAGAACAACTGCCCACCCTAAATTTCTTAAAATTCAGTATGAATCAGGAACATGATGGAATCTCCCCTTCCCCTGCTCAGCTCTGCAACAGCAAACACTAGGCTACTGCTTCATCCACAGAAGTGAAGGGCACTATAGTTAGATTTCATCTTCCTTCCTAAAAGCAAAATAATCAAGACTCCCTAGAGCTGCCACTACCAAATGCCACAGGAAGGAGAAGGGCATAGAATGACACATGGCAACTCTACAAAGCCACACACCCCACCCCCAAATCTTAAGGCAAACTCATCATTTTACTTGGAATCCTGGAATACTGTGTGGCCCATAAGGACTGAAATGGAGCCAGCTGATTTGGTGCCAAGTTCACAAATCTTTGGTCACTAATAGCATATATGCAGACCCGAGGAAAACTGATCAAAAGTGAGTCCAAAGAATTCTGCATACCCGTGGAGAACACCCAATTAAAAAAGAAGTATTGGTGGGGCGCCTGGGTGGCTCAGTCGTTATGCGTCTGCCTTCGGCTCAGGTCATGATCCCAGGGTCCTGGGATGGAGCCCCACATCGGGCTCCCTGCTCCGCGGGAAGCCTGCTTCTCCCTCTCCCACTCCCCCTGCTTGTGTTCCCTCTCTCGCTGTGTCGCTGTCTGTCAAATAAATACATAAAATCTTTAAATAAATAAATAAGAAGTATTGGTAACTCTGATCTCAAAAACTCCATAAACTTAGTGTCAAAACAGGCAGGTGGTCCTGCTTTAGGGGGCCTCTGGTGCCTAGACAAACCAGAACACACCTAAAAGACGTTCTCATCTTCCCTTCCAAATTCGTCAATGCGTATTTGTGAGAACTCTGAACCCACAACCAGAGCCCTGGAAACCGGGCCAGAGTCACAGTGCAAAAAATATGAGCAGTCCCACTCACATTCCTTCATCTGCAGACAAAGGTAAGTAGGAGAAGCTGGAGGCCCAATAATACTTCTCCCAAGGCACTCCTGCAACTTCAGGCTCCAAACCTGAAAACTATTAAATGTAACTTGAGTTCCAAAAGGCCTTCATTAGTCTAGTGGGTAGGCCAGTAGGGCCACAGATGGAAAGTGCAACTTAGAGGCTCATACTACCATGTGAAAAGATACCTTATTCTTCTCAGCAGCCATTCCAAAATCTGCACATCTGTGTTCCACAAACATGTCACTCTCAACAAAACTGCCAGGGTCCAGCAAAAGACTGATCCGCTCTCTGGTAGTTAGCTTACCCTAAAATGCAATAAAAAACATTCAGTGAGGTCATCATAGGCAAAGTAAGCAAGGAGCGTTCCTAAGAAGGCCAGAAAGACAGGGTTTGCCCCTTCACCCCTCATGAAAACCTCTATTCCATCAACCTGCCCAAAACACAGGTATTATCAGTAGATTTCAGCCAGTAAGGAAATCAGGGCAGACAGGGTGCTCCAGGAGCCACCAACCAGGGAAGGCAAATAAGGAAATGGGAGGAGGAAAAGGTGAAGAGAAGTGGTGGTAAGGAGAGCCTGACTGTGGAACAAGATAACTAGTTCCACAAACATTTACTGGAGACTTAACGAGCAATAAAAAGGAGAATGGAAAAGTAGGAGATGGAAAACTAAAGTAGGTTTAATGAAGAGTCTGAGGCCACATCCCCGGATTCACAAGCTTCTTCTAGGGAACCTCACACAAACTCACCTCACTAGTGTCCAACCAGAAGGACACTTCCAGGACCACTTCCTGGTTCTTTCTCCTGCCTCCTCCATGGGCTTCTCCTACTATCCTACATTAGGGGCTCTGCTTAGGCACCCCACACCTGACAGTGACACTATGATACCGAGACAACCCCACAGCAGGTAGTGGCTGAGAAGAAAAGCAGTGGGACAGAGAGCGGTAAAGAGCTCACTTGAGAGGAATAAAAAAAAAAAAAAATTGCTTCTTGGAAGGGGTGAGGTTGGAACCTTCAACTTATCAAGAGCCTCTGTTGCTTGGACTCTCAAGCCCTTAGAGCAAATCAAACACCCAGGCCCACTGTCTTCCAACCTCCCTCCGCCCTGGGAAAAAAAAACACCTCAAATTGGCTTTTTTCCCCCCATAAGAAAGTAGCCAAAGCCAGTGAGGTCTTTCTGAAACAAACAGGCAATCGTATACACTGTTGTGTAAAGTAGAATTAAGTTTTCCAGAAAGCAATTTGGCAACATATATTAGAGTGTTAAAAAGATTCCTATCTTTTGACCCAGTAATTCCATTTCTGGGAATCTGTCCTATGGAAGGAGTCCAAAAAATTGTTTAAAAGGGGGTGGAGCGAGGTGGAGTGAGGGTGGAGTCACCCTCCTAAGTCAGCTCTGGCAAAAGAAAAATTGCTTCTTGAGCCTGCATCTAAACCCAGTAGGGTCTACCCAGGAAGAAGTGGGGTGATGTTCCAGGGAGGAATTCAGCAATGGGCCCCAACAGAAAGAGTACACAGGAGCACTGAGAGGCCTTTCCAAAGGATGATGTAAAGGTTCCTTCAACCCAGACAGAGCCACCCCAGGGGAGGGAGGGAAAGCACTCCTGGCACCACATACTCAACCAAAATTTTTTTTTTTAAGATTTGTTTATTTGAGAGAGAGAGCACACACAGGATGGTAGGGGGAGGGGGAGAGGGAGAGGGAGAGAGACCCAAGCAGACTCGCTGCTGAGTCTGGAGCCTGACTTGGGGCTTGATCCCACCACTGGAGATCACGACCTGAGCCAAAACCAAGAGTCCAAGGCTTAAGGACTGCACCACCCAGGCGGCCCCACACTCAACCACCAAATTTACATCTCACTCCCAAGGGTCAAAAATTACTATCTTCCCTTTAGAATAAACTGACTCCTAGGGATTAAGTAACCTGTCAAAAAGGAACGGTCACCTTCATGCTCCTGTCAAATCGGAATTTATAACATCTAAATCAACATTCAAGGGGCGTCTGGGTGGCTCAGTTGGTTAAGCAGCTGCCTTCAGCTCAGGTCATGATCCTGGAGTCCTGGGATGGAGCCCAGCACTGGGCTCTCTGCTCAGCGGGGAGTCCGCCTCTCCCTCTGCCTGCCATTCCCCCTGCTTGTGCTTTTTCTGTCAAATAAATAAAATCTTTTAAAAAAATAAAAATAATCAACACTCAATTTAGACTTCAATAAAGGGCTAGTTCAAATCTCACTGAAGATCCCAGTGTTCCACCCCTCACCACCCCACTTGACAGTTGTGCCTCGATGCCCTTCACCTCTAAGAATTTCACTTCTGCATCTTCCAGATTGGTTATTTAACTCATCCAGCACATCAGTCCAGATTCACACACGTGTCAGTGATGCATTGCGTGAGCCTAGTTTCAAGTCCCGGGTCACTGTTCTGAGCCTCAGTGTTTCCTGCTGCTAAATGGTCCACCCAGCTTATCTCTGAAGGCCAGATGTCTCGCCTCAAAAACCTCCCTGCCTCTGACACGTACCTTTCCTACCCAGCATGTCGATGCACGCTAAGACACTAAAGGCGTTCAGCCAGCACTGAGGGGGCAGAAGTTCCACAAGTTCCCTGTGCACACCCCGCCCCCAGATTAATGTGAGAATTTGCCCACGTTACTTCCCCTGCCATATCCTTCGATTTTCCTGCTTCCATAATGGAGCAAGAACTTACCACGGTTTCACCGGGCAGGAGAAGAATAAACAGATTTTTTTTTTCCTAATTAAGTGCCTGTCATCGCTTCCGTAGCTCTACCGATAAGATTGTGAGGGGAGAAGTACTACTATCTTCTTCTTAAAATAAACTGACTCCTAGTGATTAAGTAAATAGTCCAAAAGTTTATAGATGTTAAGTGGTGAGTCATCCGGGACCCGGCCAGCTCCCTCTAAAAATCCAGAAGCAAAGTGGAGAGTAGCAAAGTACAATGGTGCTTATCGTCGTTTTCCCCGCCACTTGGTGCAAGGCAACAGGTACTCAAGGTGAACCTTCTCGCCCCCGCCCCCGCCCCCACCCCCGCCGCTCCCCGGCATGGCGCTGATTGGCTGAAAGGACTGGGGCGTCGCGAGCTGGGCACGCTGTGATAGGTCGCGAACGCCGAGGGGATGGCCCGAACGCAGAGAGGATGGCCGGACCACCGCAGGACTCACTCGCTTATGCTGCGCATCCACGCGGCGCTGGCCTCCTCCCACCAACGCGGCGCGGCGCTTGTTCTCGATGCGTTCGTTAACCGAGACGGGCTGGCTACACAGGTTGCGGACCGCGGAGCGGAGACCGCTCACCACAACGCTGAGTCTTGCTCCAGCCACCACCACGCGCATTGCCGCCGCCATTTTTGCTCTGCCGGCCAGCCCCCAACCGGTGCGCCTGAGTACGCATGTGCGTCAAGCGCGGGCACATCGGGTTCTGCGCCTGCGCAGCATCTGTGGGACGTAGGGAACTTGTGGGTTGGACATCCGCGCGCTCTGAGAAGGGCCAGAGGTTTCAAGACCCCAGACCCCAGTAGGGCGTTACTCTGAGGATAGTACTGGTCCTCAGCTCTTGTGCCTTCCTTGCTGCACGGAAGGGGGACTTAGTTCTTGCTCTTCTCTGGCTACCTAGACCTCTAGTTTGGTCGTCCCACCACTTCCAGAAAACGAATAGATAACGGAAGCTAACCAACATTTGTTAAACACTGTGCCAGGTGTGGCTTTAAGCACTTGCTTGCAATCCCTTATCCTGATTTCACAGATGTGGCAAATGAAGTACAGAGAGGTAGAGGATTAGATCAAGAGCCAAGACTAAAGATGTGGTGGAGCCAGGATTCGGAGACCCGCCATGTGCTGCGTGTTGAGCACAGGGCTCCTAGCCTCTAGTAGGTAATTCTCAAAGTGTGGGCCCAGCAGTTTCACTATCACCTGAGAGCAAGTGGGGAATGCAGACTTTCAAATTCTCATACTGCACCGGAGGCCTACTGAATTAAATTCTGGGGGTGTAGCCAGCAGTCTGTTTCACCAGATGACCTCTAGGTGATTTTGATGCTTGCTAGAGTTTGAGCACTACTGCTCTAGGAATTTTGAACTGAACTCTAGGGAAGTTGTTCATCTGTTTCCCCAGCTAACAAGCAGGTCTTCGAGGCAAAGAACAAGGTGTATATTTTGCATTCTTAGCCACAGAGAAAACTGCTAAAATTGATCATTAACCCCTCCAAGCTACAGCTCACAGCCAGAGCCTTCATAAAGTCCAGATTCTGGCCTGGGACATTAATGTTAATGCAATTAAATTCAGCAAATATTTTTGAGCACCTACTATGTGCCAAGAACTAATCACCAGTGTTTATTACATTTCCTTGAGTAGTTGTTCAGCTGGATATGTAGGGAAGTTGAGGGTCCAAAGCCTGAAGTCATATGGCTGAACAAAGCCCACCTGACTCCATGGTAGATATTGTTGGCCCTGCATTTGGGTCCCTGCTTTATGAACCTCATCAACTGGGGCACCTGGGTGGCTCAGTCCCTTAAGCGGCTGCCTTCAGCTCAGGACATGATCCAAGAGTCCTGGGATCAGGCCCCACATCGAGCTCCCTGCTCAGCGGAGAGCCTGCTTCTCCCTCTCCCTCTGCCTGCTGCTCTGCCTACTTGTGCTCTCTATCTCTCTGTCAAATAAATAAATAAAATGTTAAAAACAAACAAAAAAACGCCTCATCAACCTAGAGAGATGGACAAAAGACTGGCCTGGTAGCACGGGAGAATTTGGGCAAGCTGGATGCGTCAAGGAGAGTATCTCTGAAAAAGTAACTAACTGCATGCCAGGAGTAGTGGCATAGTCAGATTCACACACAGTTGTATCCCCAACTTTTGGGGAATGGTGGTAAATGAGACTGCAAAGCAGTAATGGAATTAGAATGTGAAGAATTTTACCATGTTCAGAAATTGGGGCTTCATATGGGCTTGGGGCCTTGAGATTTCTTTGTCCTAAAGTGCTTTGCAGATCCCTCTCCTGTGGCACATCTCATACCGTGGTAAGATTGTTTCGCTCTGTTCTCAGCTAGATTCCCAAGCCAGAGGGCAGAGACTGTAGCCAGCTTGCTCACCACTGTAGCCCCTGCACATGGAACAGGGCCCAATACATAGAAGCCTTCAGAATGTATTTGTGGAATTGAATTGAGCTAGCAGATAAGCAATTACATGTGGTTCAGGAGGTTTTTCTCCTACACCTGTGCATCCTTCCAGACTCTGCTCAGGTATCATCTCCTCAACGCAGTCTACTCTGATCCTCCTTCTGCCTAGGTTAGGGAAAGTATCTGTCCCTCAGGGAAGCAAGGAAGTTCTTCTTATTTAACTTTCTTTTTTTTTTAAGATTTTATTTTTTTTATTTATTCATGAGAGAGAGAGAGAGAGAGGCAGAGGGAGAAGCAGGCTCCCAAGGAGCAGGGAGCCCGATGCGGGACTCGATCCCAGGACTCCGGGATCATGACCTGAGCCGAAGGCAGACGCTTAACCATCTGAGCCACCCAGGCGCCCCTTATTTAACTTTCAATAAACAGTGCTTAGCAGAATGCCCAGGAGGGATCCATAAACAACTGTTAGACTGAACCTAAGTGCTCCCCCCGACTAGTTCTTTCTCTACTTGCTCTTTCTTTCCCTTCCTCTCATTCTTCCTCCTCACTGTTCTAGTGCCCTACCACAGGTATCCTATATATGGTCCTATAGATCTATACTGTTATTCTTTACCTTGGGCGCAAGTCCCAGCCTAGGATGGGTGGAGGTGAGGTAGGAGGAGGGTTGAACTACCCAGTAACTGCCCTCTGGAATCCTAGCATGCTCCAGGCTGTTTTCCTGCCCCTAGTCCTCCTTGCTGGATTGCTATACTTGAGTTATTTCTCCATTTTGAGACAGGAGTCACCCCGATCTGGCCATTCTATCCCAGTCAGCGATCACCATCAGCAAAGCTGGGTGAAATGGAAGGAAGGAGTAAATTTGGAAGAGGTCACACATATTTGGGAGAGTGTGTGATCTGAATCTTCTGAGAAGCAGCTGCCAAGAGAGGAATTAAATGTGCAAGGAATCAATTAGGGGAACAACCTGTGAGAGAAAATGGGGCAGCAGCTGGGAGAGGCTGGGAGAACTATCAGATTGCAATGCAAGTCTGAACCCCATTCAAGGAGAGAAGTGAGGAAGAAAGGTGACTGGGAGTTCCTTAGACTACTGTGCACTTTTAAGGCAAGTTCAGCAAGGCTATCAAGGAGTCCTAGAGTCAAAATATTCCTGCCCCTGTTTGGCGGGGGGCAGCCCATGAGAGGTGTGGCCTCAGTACAAATTCAGCAATTAATTTCAGAACAGCTGGGGCCCTCAGTCAATTACCCTTAATGCAATCCAGCTGTCTTGTCACCTTAGCAAGTTTGGGGCGGTTGGAAGTAAGGGGTGTGAGAGAGGAAATTTTGCTGCCATCCACATGGGAAGAGAGGATTTTTAAGATGCTCCTTATGCATTATGGATGTACTTCTTTCCTTAATGTTTCTTTTTAATGAAAAAATGAAGTACTTTAAATTTACTTTTCTTTTCTCTGTACCGTGTCTCTTTGACTGCTAACATTGGGTCATAAGAACCCTGTCTTAAATTTCAGTTAAAACTGTTATTAAGAACTGGAACCTGGTTATCCCCACACCACACACATTTTCCAAGCCATCTTGGAAAATCCTCATCTTTTATGACTCCTTGGGCTCTGTGGTAAATGAGCAGAGCTCTTCTGTACCTTTTTCCAGAGGCACTTCCAGACCATTCTTCCACCCTTGCTGAGCTGCTCTTCTTTTGAAGTTTTGGCCATGTGTTGGTACCACCTTTCAGCATTCTCTGACCTCCACAACACACCCTCCTCTCCCTTCTCCTGTGATTTCCACATCAGGCTCACTTTCCTACTCTTCCCTGCTGTATTATTCAGGGTTCTCCAGAGAAAAACAACCATTAGGATATATGTAGATATATAAAGAGATTTATTACAAGAATTGGCTTATGTGGTTATGAAGGCTAAGAAGTCCCACAATCTGCTATCTGCAAGATGGACCAGAACAAGTAGCCAAGAAAAAAATAAATATATAAGAGGCATCCAAATTGGGAAGAAAGAAATAAAACTGTCACTATTTGCAGATGACATGAAAGTATATAGAGAAAACCCTAAAGACTACACTGAAAAACATTAGAACTAATAAACTCAGCAAAGTTGCAGGATAAAATCAATATACAAAAATCTGCTATGTTTCTATACACTTATAATGAACTATCAAAAATTAATAAAACAAACCCATTTACAATTGCATCAAAAAGAATAAATTATCTGAGGGGCACCTGGGTGGCTCAGTCGGTTAAGCATCTGCCTTTGGCTCAGGGTCCTGGGATCGAGACCCTCATGGGGTTCTCTGCTCAGTGGGAGTCTCCTTCTCCCTCTCCCTCTTCTCCTCCCCAACATTTGTGTGCTCACTCTCACTCTCTCTCTCAAATAAATAAATAAAATATTTAAATAAAATAAAATATCTGAAAATAAATTTTTTTCAAGTGCTCCACACCCAGTGTGGGGCTTGAATTCTCAGCCCTGAGATTGAGAGTTGCGTGCTGTACCAATGGAGTCAGCCAGGCACCCCTGAAAATAAATTTAACCAAGAAAAAAGACCTGTACACTTCAAACTATAAGACATTAATGTAAAATTGAAGAAGACGTAATGAGTGGACAGATATTCCAAGCTCAGAGGTTGGAAGAATTAATATTTTTTAAAGATTTTTTAAAATTTGTTTAAATTTATTCATTTGAAAGAGCGAGCAAAACGAGCAATATTATTAAAATTTCCATACTACTCAAAGCAATATACAAATTCAGTGCAATCCCTGTCAAAATTCCAATGGCATTTTTCATAGAAATACAAACAATCCTAAATTGGTATAGAACCACCACAAAAAAAAAAAAAAAACCTAGCCAAAGCAATCTTGGCAAAAAAGAATAAAGCTAGAGACATCATACGCCTTGATTTCAAACTATATTACAAAGTTATAGTTCTCAAAACAGTATGGTATTGGAATAAACACAGACACATAGCTCAATAAAACAGAATGAAGTGCCCAGAAGTAAGCCCCCACACATATGATCAATTAATTTATAACAAAGGAGCCAAGAATATACAATGGTAAAAGGACAACGTCTTCAACAAATGGTGTTGGGAAAATTAGACAGCCACGTGCAAAAGAATGAAACTGGACCACTATCAAATACCAGACACAAAAATTAACTAAAAATTGATTAAATACTTGAATGTAAGATCTGAAATCGGAGGGGGAGACGAACCATGAGAGACTATGGACTCTGAGAAACAAACTGAAGGTTCTAGA